CTTCCCAGCTCCGAGGAGGGCTGGCCGGCTGCCTGCAGGGTGCTGCGGCGCGACGCTGGGGGCGTCCTGCACGTCCATCAAAACGTGGACTTGTCCCCAGGGAGGAAGCCGCGGCCTCCCGGGAGCGGCGCGGCGGCGGAGGAGCAGGGGGCCTGTCCGCAGCAAGTGGTCACCGGCCCGCGGGAACACGGAGCTGCCGGGGCTTCTGGGAGGAAAGTACTGTCGACAGCCACCAAGCCGGAGTGGCGGAGGTGGGCAGAGTCTGCAGAAGCGCGAATTGCCGCTCTCCTCGAGCAGCTGCACGGGAAGCCGTGGAAGACACAGATCCTCCGCGTCGGGCGCGTGAAGTCCTATGCGCCCCACGTGGACCACGTCGTCCTGGACCTGGAGTGCCGGCCCTGCCCTTCGGCGGACTAGCGAGGAGGCTGCTGGACACGGGTTCCGAGTGCCAGTGGATCAGCTCGGGCTGGTTCGCACCCCTTCTATCTCCTGGTGATCCGTTTTACTATTCTGTGGCCCTGAAGGCAGGCTCTCGACCAATCCGATTCATGTCACTTGCCTTCCACGGATCATGAAGAGAGCGCGCTGCACATCTGGGTGAAGCAGCGTGGCCCCTCAAGCGAGGCTCATCTGTGCAATTCCGAATTCTGATTCGGTCCGGACGTTGGGTACGGGTTTTTACTGTTTTTTAGCCTAGGATCTCCTTGTTTGCAAATCGAAGGTTTCTTTGAACTGTCTCGCGTGACTGTTAACTCATTATCTTAAAAAGACACATTGCCGTTGCCAAAGTCACTCCAACTACAACATGGAAAACTGACAGGAAGAAGGTCCAGGGTGGAAGCAGGGAGGCCATGAGGAAGTTTCTGTAGCTGTCCAGGTGCGAGGTGATGCCACTAGGATGGTGGCAGTGGGAGGTGGATGGTTTGGAGCAGCTGTCCAACATATTTAGCTCGGGGACTGGGTTCACGGAACGCAGTTTTTCTACAGACAGGGATGGAGGGAGCAGGGACGTGCAGTCCCTGCTCACAGTCATCTGTATTTGCAGCCGCCCCCAGCGCCAGCATCACTGCCTCAGCTCCACCTCAGACCATCAGGCAATAGACTCAAGGAGCGCCCAGCCTAGATCCCTGGCATGTCCGGTTCACCAGAGGGTTCCTGCTCCCAGCAGAATCCAACCCTGGGGCTGACCTCACAGGAGGCGAGCTCAGGCGGTCATGTGAGGGGTGGCGGAGGCGGCTGTAAATACAGATGAAGCTTTGCTGCTGACTGTTCACTTCGGTGGACAGGGTGACTGGGGATGGGGAGCGGGGACATGGCCACAGAGTGGTGGAGGAGAAGTCTGTGGGGATGGAAGAAACCAAGCGCTCTCGAGCCTTTTCTCTACCTGAGTATATTCATCTACACCCCAGTTTTCTTGTAGGACTTGCTGGATTGGCCTGGTCAGGAAGAGGCATCTTACGGGACCAGGAGAAAAGGCTGAAGGAGTCAGGAGGCTCACCGAGTCCTTGTCACCTCAGACCAGGACTTGGTGCAAGCTTCCGTGTGATTTGCCAGTTAATGCAGCCACTTAAGGTGTTGTGATTTGAAACACATAGTAATTGGTTTAAGCTCCCTCAACCTTGAGTTGCTCTATTCGTTAACTGCATTAAAAAGGTTATGTGGGTATGCTGATATGAACATAGTGTGTACATCTGAAATACTGAAACACAGAAGTATAAAATGATGATAAACAAGCTGGGTGCAGTGGCTCACGCCTGTCATCCCAGCACTTTGGGAGGCCAAGACCAGAAGATTGCCTAAGCCCAGGGGTTCGAGACCAGCCTGGGCAACTTGGTGAGACCTTGTCTCTACAATAAATCAAAAAAATTAGCTGGGTGTGGTGGCACATGCCTGTGGTTCCAGCTGTTTGGAAGGCAGAAATGGAAGGTTCACCTGAGCCCAGCTGGTCGAGGCTGTGGCGGCCATGAGCATGCCACTGCACTCCAGCTTGGGTGACAGAGTGAGACTCTAGACTCAAAAAATAAAATGATGATAGGTGAGATTGGGTGCCTTCAGGGTGGTATGGCTGTATACATGATGATAAACCGAATTTTAAGGCTATTTTCTCCTACCTTGGGCACACGTAAGAAAGCCCATAATGTGTCATCCTGAACAGCCTCAGGGTACAGCCACTGCATATTGGGCAAGCTGTAAAACAGTCATTTTCAAACTAAACTGACTTAAAATGACTACAATTACGTAAGCATGTTTAAAATAATAACCCTGTTGATTTTGGAAAAGTTTGGCAGTTCTCAAAGTGCTGAACACAGTTAGCAAATGACCCATCAGTGGATTAACCAGATAGGTGAGACTGTATGATAGAGATACATATCCAAGAGACATGCAAATATGTCTACACAAAAGCTTGTACATGAATGTTTGTGGCAGCATTATTCATAATAGCCAAACAGTGGAAACAACTCAAAAGTTCACCAATTTATGAGTGAATAAGCAAAATGTCACATATCCATACAATGGAACCTGTAAAATGGAATGAGTCCCGGCGTGGTGGCCGAAGTAGGAAGATTGCTTGAGCCCAAGAATTCCAGACCAACCTGGGAAACATAAAGTGAGACCTGATCTCTCAAAAAAATTAGAAAATTAGCCAAGCGTAGTGGTGTGCACCTGTAGTCCCAACTACTTGGGATGCTGAGGCAGAAGGATAGATTGAGCCCAAGATGTCAAGGCTGTGGTGAGCTGTGATCATGCCACTGCACTCCAACCTGGGCAACAGAGTGAGACCCTGACTCAAAACAGAAAAAGTAATTTTAAAAGGAGTGAAGTACTAATTTTCTTGGGGATGGGGAATGAGAGTCTCGCTCAGTTTGGAGTGCAGCGGCATGATCATGGTCATTGCAGTCTCAACCTGCTGGGCTCAGGCGATCCTTCTGCCTCAGCCTCCTGAGTTGCTGGGACTATAAACGCATGCCACCATGCTCAGTTAGGTTTTTTTTTTGTTTTACTGTAAAGGTGAGCTCTCACCAAGTTGCCCAGGCTGGTCTCAGGCAGGGTCACTGTGCCCGGCTGAAATACTGATCAATACATGCTACACATGGATAACCCTTAAAAACACTATGCTAACTGCCTGAGCCCACGGGTTCGAGACCCGTCTGGGCAACTTGGCGAGACCTCATCTCTACAATAAATCAAAAATTAGCCAGGCGTGGTAGCACGTGCATGTAGTTCCAGCTACTTGGAAGGCTGAGGCAGAAGGATCACCAGAGCCCAGCAGGTCGAGGCTGCGGTGGCCGGGAGCGGCCACTGCACTCCAGTCTGGGCGACAGAGTGAGACTCCAACTCAGAAAAAAGAAAACACTATGCTAAGTGAAAGAAGCCATTCACAAAAGGTCACTGTAGTGTATGTAGTGTTTATATGAATCGGCCAGAACAGGCAAATCCGCAGAATTAGAAAGTTGATGGGCTGTGGGTAGTGGGGACCGGGTTCCCCAGAGGAATGAACGTTCTGAAGTTAGATGGTGGTAAGGGCTGTCCAACTGCACTACACGACAATTGTTTATGTTATAAGGGTAGACTCGTTGGCCAGGCACGGTGGCTCAGCCTGTAATCACAGCATTTTGGGAGGCCGACCCAAGAGGATTGCCTGAGCCCGCAGGTTCGAGACCAGCCTGGGCAACTTAAATAGATAAATCACAAAAACTAGCTGGACATGGTGGCATGCATTTGTAGTTCCAGCTACTTGGAAGGCTGAGACGAAAGGATCGCCTAAGTCCAGCAGGTGGAGGCTGCGGTGGCCGTGAGTGTGCTGATGCACTGTAGCCTGGGCGGCAGAGTGAGGCTCCAACTTAAAAAAAAAAAAAAAAGGGTGGACTTGTCTGCCTGCTTTGGCAGCACATATACTAAGGGTGGATTTCACAGCATGTGAGTTTTATCTCAGTAGAGCTGTTTTCAAGCAAAAACCAAGCACAGAACCTGGAGAAGCTTCCTGCGAGAAGGAAAGCTGGAGCTGAGTTTGCAACTTGAGCGGAATTAGCCAGGTCGAGGCAGAGGCAGTGAGAGCCCCTCGCCTCTTCACACTGAGCTCCTTCCGTCTCACGGACACTTTCCTTGGGTCTTGCCCTGCGGTTTTGACGGGCCCAGAGCGGGTTCATCCCGTGGGAGATGCTGAGGTTGACACACAGTGTCCGTCTCAACCCTCCTTTCTCTTAAAAAAACAAGCTGGAAAAACACAGTAGGGAATTTTCCAGCCTCTATTGAAGCTGTGGTGGCCACATGAACCAGTTCTGGCAAGGAGCTCACAGCAGAGGTCCCCAGGGGGAGCGTTGGGCTCTGACCCTGGGGACGCAGAAGACTTCTCTCCAGGTATGCTAAGGATGGTGGGGGCAGGATTGTACGACTCTGGTTTTGTTTTTCGAGTCAGTCTCTGTTGCAGGCTGGAGTATGGGGGCACACTCATAGCCACCAGTCTCAACCTACTGGTTTCAGTCGATCCTTCCACCTCAGCCTTCCAAGCTGCTGGAACCACAGGTGTGCACCACCACACATGGCTGATTCCTTAAGCTACTGTAGAGATGAGGTCTCGCCAAGTTGCCCAGGCTGGTCTCGCACTGCTGAGCTCAGGCAGTTCTCTTGTCTCCGCCTCCCAAAGTACTGGGATTACAGGCTTGAGCCACTATGCCCGGCCGCAAATAATTCGACCTGATATTCTGAATGGTGGATTAACCAAATAAATAAAACATGTATGATAGGGATAAATAATTAAAAACAGCAGTTCACGCCACCCCAAACTGGGCATCTGGAAATTAGTTCTTTTTCAGATTTTCAACTTGTTAACGAGGCCATTTAGCGGAGATACCGTGGAAATGAAAGCCTCACACGGCCTTGGAACTGCTTTTCTTTTTTGAAAAATCAAAGCGATGGAGACTGGCTGGGGTGGTGGCTCACACCTGTAATCCCAGCACTATGGGAGGCCAAGATTGGAGGATCGCTTGAGCCCAGGAGTTCGAGACTAGCCTGGGAAACACAGGGAGACCTCATCTCTGCAAAAAAATCCAAAAGATAAGCTGAGTGTGGTGGCGTGCACCTGTAGTTCCAGCTACTCAGGAAGCAGAAGCATTGCCTGAGCCCAGGCAGTTGGGCTTCAGTGAGCCATGATTATGCCACTGCACTCTAGCCTTTTTTTTTTTTCAAATAAAAAGTGATGGATAGTAATAGGATTGGTTCCCTGACTGAGAATGTAACCTGGGCTGCAGCCAAGAAGACACACAAACTTGGCCACTAGACCACCGGCCGGAGTTTTCTCTTTCCCCTTCTCTTTCACACACATTTTTGAGCCCTCAACAATGTGCTAGACATCAGGGAACAAAACAGCAAGCAAGGCTAGATCCAGTCCCAGATTCCATAGGCCTTATGCCCTCATGAGCGGGTGGGCATTCGTAAGCACACACACGCCATTTCATATGACAGGTCATATTCTAGTGAGTGCTGGGAGGAGTGGTTCTTGATGCCACAGGGACATGTGACAGGGAGCCAACCGGTCAAGGTCAGGAGGCTTCCCTGAGGACGTGACGCCTGGGCCTAGAGCTGTGGGTGAGGAGCAACTCGTGAGTGGCCACCCTTGGCAGCTCTCCAGGCTGTGTGGTTGGCGCGTGCAAGTGCCCCATGGAGCGGCTGACAGGAAGGCCAAGGTGGGTGGGGAGAGTAAGGGGTGAGTAGAAATCAAAAGAAAAAATGAAGACAC